CCGAGTGTTGGTCCGAGCGCCCAGCTGCGCCTCCCGACGCCCGACGCTGCAATTTCGTTCCATGCGCGGCCCCAGGAACTGGCACGCCCGGAAGGGGGGGCAGGATTTGCGGGGGGCAGGACTTGTTCCCCCCCCGTCTCTGAGCATCGAGTGGGGAATTCGAGCATCGTGCGAAGATCGGTCCGAGTTCCGTTTCTGGCAAGATGGTTGCGTACACAGCTTTTGTAGCACAGGCGGGAGAGAGCTTGGTTTTCGGCAAGGCTTCCCCACCTCCGCTGCCATGTGCCTCAGAGGCCCCACAGAAGGGCCGTGCTGGCAGGACACTGCGGGGGGATGTCGAGACTCACCAAGGAAGTCTCGCAACTGCCAGGACCTTCGTCGACGCAATCCTTCGGCTCGAGGTTCATGATTACCCCATTGGCGAGGAACCCAAGCCTCGGTAAGTTGTGGAAGTTCCCGCAGTCAGGTTCTACGTTCAGCCTCCAGGAGAGCTGTTGTATGATCGCTGTCGGCCCGGCCAAGTCTGACGTCCCCGTGTCCACGGCGGCGTAGCAGTCAACACACAAATTCTGCGGACATTCGTCGATGGTGATGTCCGATATCTGAAACTCCCAAAAGCCCGTGTGGCGGGAAGCGTCCGATATCTGAAACTCGCAAAAGCCCGTGTGGCGGGAAGCGACGGGAACCCAGTGTAGGTCCGACGCCAAGTGGCTTGTCTTCATGCTGCCAAAGGTGATCTCGGAGACTTCAGTGTCGCGAATGGACAGGAAAACTGCGAATACCGTCTGATGGAGCTTCTCGGTCGCCTTGATCCTTTCCAGCGTATTGAACTTGGGGCCCCGCGACATGTAGGGCAGGGACAACCCCATAACCCGTCAAAATTGAAGAATGCGAACGGGGTGTTGCTCTCGTAGGTGCTCGCAATGAAGGCACCAGCGTAGCAGACGGTGCCAAGGCAAATCTGATCCTCAAAACAATCGCCCACAATCTGTCCAACGCCAAAAGATACTGTTGTGTGGTCTTCCAGTGAGGCATGGGACTTACTAGAGGCAGGGCAGGGCACCCGGTTCCCGCTGGTGGAGGGATGATGATTGTACAGGGCACGTCCGTTGCACGCCTCGGAGTCGCAGCTACTCCCCGGCACCAACAGGTTCCCACTGCCAGAGTCGAAAACGACCTGGAATGGCCGCGGCGGGTCACCAATCTCAACGGTGTCGAAGTAAGCCATATTGTGCGTCATCTGGACGCCGCCCCTCCTCACGTGGCGGCGGTGCCCTCGAAGATTTTATTTGCTCGCGTTGTTCAAGCGATCGTGGCCGTGGTCGTGGTCGTTCTTCCTGTGGACGTCTCCCGCCTTCTTGATGGCATCCTTGACGGTCCTCTTGCGCAGCTGCACCGACGCCGCCGCGCCCATGGCCTCACCGCATGTGCAGAGGCCCCAGAGCACCACTCAGAGAACTGAGGTCAAAGGTGCAACCTTGCCAGACTGGACAAGCATGGGTACGACTTACGTGCAGAGTGTGGTGTGGCGCCGTCTTGGCTTGAGCTAAAATGGCTACGGAATCTTTCACGAGAGGCCTTGGACAATGCAGACTGCCAGGCCAACTCACAAATAATAGGAGTCGACGCACGTACGCGCACTTGGGAACACATCGTTCGATTCTTAATCGCTCGCGCTCACTCAATCGTGGCGTGAGGAAGGCACCACAACTGCCTGGCCTGAAAAGTCAAGACACATCTAAACATAAAGCTCGAATTATGAACTCTGCAGGCTCGGGGGTTTCTTCTGAAGCCAATGCACGGGCAAGTGCCAGCTTGCAGCCAGTCACATGTTAGCGGGGGGTCTGCGCCACCCAGCTTGCACCACAGAGTCAGCTTGCACCACGCAAAGCCCAGCCCGAATCCTGAACCACCAGAGGCCAGCTGTGAGGACTTCGCAAGCGACACCGTGCCCAGAGCAAGCCACACAGGGCAAATCGTGAGGAAATCCCGAGCGAAGCCACACCCAGACCCGGCCGCCCTCGAGGCCGCCGGAGGGCCTCCGACAGGCGCCGACGGGCCGCCGGAAGGCCGCCAGGAGGCCGCCGCCGAAAGACCGCCGCGGGGATCGGACGGGGAAGGGAAATCGGATCGCATCGGAGACGGATCGGGTCGCCAGCGAGGCGCCCCGAATCGAATCGGAGGGCCGCCGCGGGGGGGCGGCCGCGGGGTCGCCTCCACGGCGCGGGCGGCCACGCCGAGGGCCGCTCCCGCGGGGTCCTGCGGCTTCGGCGCCGCCCTCGGCTTCGGGGCGGGGGCCTCGCTGCGCGCGCCGCGGGCTGCCCTCGTGCTCCTCGCCCTCCTCCTGCTCCTCCTCCTCCTCCTCGCCCTCCTTCTGCTCCTCCTCCTCCTCCTCCTCCTCCTCCTCCTCCTCCTCCTCCTCCTCCTCCTCCTCCCCGCATCCTCCTCCTCCTCTTCCTCCTCCTCCTCCTGCTCCTCCCTCATCCTCCGCCTGCTTCTCCGGCTCCTCCTCCTCCTCCTCATAAATCCGCCACTGTGCCCCCGCTCCAAGACGGCCCAAGAAGCCTCCAAGACTGCCCCGAGACGGCCCAAGAGGCCCCCAAGAGGGCCCCAAGCGGGCCGAGGAGAGCTCCAAGACAGCCCAACGGGCGCCCAAGATGACCCCCGAAGGCGGCCCCAGGAAAGGCCCAAGAGGGGAACCCGAAGCGACAATTCGAATCTTACGCCTCAAGAGGCCCCCAGAGTCTAAAAAGAGGCCCCAAACAGGCCCCCGAGAGGCCCGAAAAAATGAGGTCCATGAGAGTGTCTCAAGGAGCGAAGACGAGAGATGTCACATGTGATGGTGTTTCTCGTCCTTCTCCTATTTTTCCTTATCCTCGTCGTCCGCGTGGTCTTTCTCCTCCTCCATCTCAGCATCGATTTCTTCACCATCTCCATAAGCATCAGCATCACCATCGTCATCGTCATCATCATCATCATCATAATCAGCATCATCATCATCATCATCATCATCATCATCATCACCATCATCATCATCACCATCATCAAAAGCAGCAGCACCATCTTATTTATCATATCATCATCACCACAATTACCAGCATCAACCATCATAAGCAGCAGTGGCATGACAATAACAATCGTCGTCGGCATCATCATCATCACCATCATCAATCACCAATCACCAATCACCAATCACCAATCATCATCATCATCATCATCATCATCATCATCATCATCAGAATCAGCATCAGCATCAGCACCATCATTATCATCGCCACCATCACCATCATCATTATCCTCGTCATCAGCAGCATCAACATCATCATGAACAGCAATATCATCATCTCCATTATCAACATCATCATCAGCATCACCATCACCAGCCTCATTAGCTTCTACATCGTCATTTACACCTACATCATCATCCGTATCAGCATCCTCATAACCATCAGCACCAACATCAACCTCACCATCATCATCATCATCATCATCATCATCATCAGCGACAACAGCATCAGCATCATCACCGTCATCATTACCAGCAGTATAACCATCCTTACAGCCATCATCATCATCATCATCATCACCGTCATCATCATCATCATCATCAACATCATCACCATCATCATAGCCATCATCAGCATAGTCAGCACCACCATCATCAGCATTATCCACGCCACCATCATCATCTCCACCATCATAATCAGCATCATCATAATCATCACCATCATCATCAACATCGTTATCATCAATATCATCACCGTCCCCATAAACGTCATCGTCCTCATCGTAAGCCACAGAAAAAAATCAGCTGGCATGGTGGTGGGACTTCCCGCAAGGAGCTGGGTAGCTCCCCCTGCTGCACCACCAGGCGTGTTGGTAGCACGGGCAAGGCGCTTCGCTTTCGCCTTCCACGCCTGAAGCTTGAAGGTTAAAGCAATTTTGCGGATAGAGTGGGGGTTGATTTCACAATCTGACTCTCGCATCTACATTGCGCACGTTCGTCTTCAAAGTTTGTATAACCTTCATGGGTGGAGGGTGGGTGTTTTTTGTTTTTGCACTGTGCCTCTCGCACTTACATATTGCGCGCGTTCGTCAAAGTTCGCAAAAGCTTTACGGATGAAGGGCAAGTGGCTCTCAACATGTGACTCTGTGGCTCTCGCTTTAACGCCGTGCGCATTCATTTTCAAAGTTCCCACCAATTTCATGGATAGCGGTTTTATCGCCTCAACACCGTGGAAATTCACCCTCGACCTTTGCGACAATTCCACGGATGGAGGGGGAGTCTTTTTCAAAGTGTGTCTCTCGTCTTAGCGCCGGGCATATTCATTTTAAAAGTTCGCAGCAATTTCACGGAAATGTGGCTATCGCTTGAGCGCCGCGCACATTCGTTTCAAACGTTGCGCCGTAGCACCGCACGCATTCGTCGTAAAAGTTTGCAACTGTTTACACGGATGGAGCACCAACCATTTTCACAATGTGGCTCTCGCCCCAGCGCCTCGCGTATTCAATTACCGTGCGAGTTTGTAGCCGCTTGATGGGTGGAGGGGGGTGGTTTCCACAATGTGGCGTGCGCGTTATCGCCGTGCACATTTGTTGTACAAGTTCGCAGCGGCTTCACGGATCGGGTGGTGGTGGTTTTCAAACTGGTGCCCTCGCTTCAGCGCTGCGCACTCGTCTTCAATGTTTGCGCTGGCTTCACGGACGGGGGCCGTTCCTTTCCAACATGGGGGCCCGAAGCGTTAGGGCACGTGGCGCTGTACTGATTCATGCCGGCTCATTTTCAACATGGAATTGTCGCTTGGGACTTCCTCGAAGCCCATGGCCACAATGGTAGACTTGTGCAAGGCTTGCAAGGAGGGGGCTTCTTCTGCAAAAAGGAAAGATATCGGTGGACACCTCGTTGAATTGCATGATGCCTGTTCATGTTCCCGCGTTCCTGACTACGCTCTGGAAGGATGCAAGGCCCATGCTTGCCAAAAAGGGGCCTTCGCCAACGTGGAATGCTCAACCGTTCTGGTCTTTCAAGGGGGGGGCGCTTCTAGATGTTAAAGATAATGCCTTGCAGGGGCGTGTGAGGAGTGGACGTGGGACGGGAGGGTGCATTGCAGCATCGCCATGCATCGGTGGTTTACTCTCGTCCTGCTCCTCCCGCCGTCTTCCTCGTCCTCCTGGTCTTCGTCGTCGTCGCCGCCGTCGTCGTCGTCGTCGTCGTCGTCGTCGTCGTCGTCGCCGTCGTCGTCGCCGTCGCCGCCCGCCGCCTCCCGGCGCCGGGAGGCAGCGGCCCGTGCCCCCGAGGAGGAGCGCAGCCCAGGCGGCGAGGCCAGATCCGGCTGCACGCCGCCCCCCCCCAGTTAATGGGCTTCCTGTGGCGAATCCAGGACGAGGAATGTGGCGAAGCCAGGAGGAAGAAGAGGAGGAGGAGGAGGAGGAGGAGGAGGAGGAGATGGAGGGACGCCGCCGACGACGGCGACGACGGCACCACGGCGACGAGTTCGGGAGCCCCGCGCCACCTCCAGGCTTGTAGGAAGCCAGGTGGCGACACGTCGAGAATCTCCAGGGATCTGGCGGCTCTGGAGGACGTCTCGGGCGCCGCGGCCTCCTCGGAACGTGCCGGAGGGCTCCGGGAGCGTTCCGGAGCGCGAGCGCTCCCGCCTTTCTCACCCCTTCCCCTCCCGCACCCTCGCCGTCGCTCGGACGGACGTCCAGTTCCCGTGCACGTTTCGGCGGTTTCGTGCGCGCCTGTTGCTGCAAGAGATGACCCAATTGATGCTCCTCGGTTGTCCTCGCCGAGAAACGAGCACACGGCCGAGCGATGCCAAGCCCCTGTCATCTGCCCCGACTGAAGGGGCCCTGGGACACACAAATACATAGACACAAGTGACAGGATTCCCAATATTTTCATATATTTTCTCGCCTTTTGTCTTCCCCCCACTTCCCATATGTTCCCATATGTTCTGGGGAATCGACGATTACTTGTGCCTGTGTGTATTTTTCCCTCCTGACCGACCCGCTCCTCGCGAGCGGCGACGGCGCGAGAGCGAGCTTCCCAGGCATGCGCAGCAGCGGTTGCTTCGATGCGCGGGCCCGCCGAGGTCCTGAGCCCTGCCCTGGGGCCACTTTTCTTCATCCCGGGGTAGCTTCGTGGACGGCCCCTGGGCCCGAGGGCAGCTTCCACAGATGCCTCCGCCGCAGGAGTACACTCGACCAGGATCGTAGATCGTAAGGGTGGGCGGTAAGGATGCACGGGCCTTGGAACTCAATGTTGACGCTTTCCGTGCGGAGCGCAGCAGAATGCCGAAGGATGCCGAACACCGCAGGGGCAGGGATGCGAGGGCAGCCTTGGAAAGTTGCCCCATCCTTACTATCATGGTTGACTGTACGGCGAGAGCACTGGGCAAGGAGACAAGAGATGAGTAATCCAGGGTCGGGAAGCCGGTGGGCCACCCACCGCGGCTCGGCCATGGATATCACCGCCGCCCTCATCAGACACGGAATCCTCCAGGGTCTGCAGCCTTTTGGGCACAATCCTTAACGAACGCCCCCGCCGTATCCATCGGCCGCCTCGCTGTCTCGATGCGCCCAGTGTCTGAGCTCTGAACTCCCATACATCCGACGAGCCCCGGAGACTCAAACACCTCGAGACT